ACTAAGTTCAAAGTCTTTTTAATGAAGTGATAACTATATTAATAAAACATCTAGTAATAAGGGGAAAAAAATGTTTGGCTCTGAAATAAAACTATATGAAATTGCTTAACTATATCGACAATATAAGAGGTCTTTTTAAAAGTCTATGCAACCATTCTAGAGAACATAAAATATCATAAATACATGATATTTCGGAAAACATATTTCAGTTATTACTAAAAAATTTTCATACTTTAATGCTCTATTGTATGACGGTTATATGGATCAATAAAGAGGAGTATACAAAAAAATATACGTTATTAAAACACAAAAAATATTTAAAAATCAATTGAAGTCCGTTTTTTAGTTATACGTTCAAATTGTTCAATACAGAATAATTAGACTTATATGCTGCATGATTTTATTATAATATTTGCTTATGAATCTGTAATTGTTAATTGTTTAGATTTCAATCGTTTGCTGTGGCTTAAGACTAACATTATATGCGCCCCTTTGAAGGGATGGTTTGTTTTTAAGCTTTGTCCTTTGTGTTTCACGTGGACTACTAACTAGACTTATGTGCGTAATTACAACTTTATTCTCGCAAGAAATACAGAACGTAAGATTTAAATATTTTGTATCGTTCAGCAATTTACAATGAAAATTGTCGCACATCCTTTTGTTAAAATCAAAAAATACAGTTGATTAATTTTATAATATCTGTTCATTTGTGTCTAACGTACAGCTATAGTACACAAGGATAGGGGAAGAGGGGCAGCGACAGTGAACATGATAGGAAACTAAACCAAAACGTAATTAGCAGCGTAAAACGTACCTAAGGGTTCTACTAGAACATATACAGATATTAGCGTCTCGTAAGCCGGGCTTCAACTCTATTCATCATACCGTATAGTCATTTGATTTCATGTCGTTATCAATTATTTATTTTTCTTTCAGTTTCTATGTTGGCCACAATGCTGTTGCTTTTGGCCTTTGTAATGCATAACAAGTTTCTCGTATTGAATATATGTGTATTTATCTCTTAACTATCGTTTTCAAATGGGAGTAATGTGGATTTTAATATTCTGGACAGTTTACGGTCGTGGAAGTCTTAAAATAGTAACGTCATTATCATTACAGCTAAGTGTTTGTATTTATGTATGTTTGCATGTATTTAGGGATGTATATATTTATATATGTATGTGTGTCAATGCATGAATGTATATGATGAGTGGGCGTGGGAGTGAAGTGCAGGGTGCGGAGTTCGGAGTGCGAATTGCGGATGTTTGTCTCCGCGTGAGTTACATTTCTATTAGAATTTTTTATTACCGATTTAATATGTTGCTAGATTAACGTTAATTTAGTATTATTTATTCATTTGCTCAAAAGTCTTTTGCCCGAGCACAGGCCCGCCGAAAGCAAGCAGCACCAACCTTGGGTTGTTCAAATGTTTTCTTGCAGCCTTTGAACTTTGGCCAAAAACTTGTAGTTCTCTAGAGCTTATCCATCACCTGATCCGCGGCTGGCGTACCATCAGTCCAGCGGCTTGCCGAAAAATAAAATGCTGAGCAAATCATTGAACGACAACTAAATTTGGCTGGGACTCGCTGCCTGTGATGTGGTTGCAACAACTGTCGCTGGGGCGGCGACAGCCGTGGGAACAACAGTGTTCACTGTGTTCGCCATTGATTTAATTGCAGGCGATGATTCATCGAGTTTGTCCATCTCCTGAACCGTGTCATTTGACTTGGATTTGACTGGACTTTCTGTGTCCATTTCAATATTGTATTTACCTTGCGTCACATTGTCCTCGATTTCGGGGGGTGTTGAAGCACCCTTTGGCTTTAGCAAGATTCCCGCAGCAGCCGATGTTGATGGCTCTACTGTGAATTCCTCATGCTCCTTGCCTTGCACAGTATTCGACGCATTCGTTTCCCGTTTGATGATCGCGAAAATGCTGTGTATGTAGGACTCCATTGTGAGCAGGGTGCTCAGACGCTTTTTGCGATCCTCGTTCAGACGATCCTGTGCAGTTTTCTTATTAGCTGATTTCTTATTAAGCTTGGGTGTCGGCTCCAATTCATCTTCCAGCTCAGTTTCATCTTCTGATGACGGCACCGATGCCTTTTCTTGGTGCTCCGATGCTGGGCTCCCCATCCGCTCGTCTCCCGCGTCAGCGACCTTCGCTGGCTCTACGACAGCCTCTGCAACATTAATAACAGTATCGGTTGAGCTAACCGTTTCACTGGGCGCATCCGTCGACACCTCAGCCGCACTAGCATTGTCAACTGGTGCGGCTTTCTCTGTGCTTTCCGTCGAATTGTCTGCTTTGTCTGCCTCCGATGGCCCAGTTGAATGAGGATCTTCTTTTTCTTTTGAAGATTCCCGCTTCTGTTTCTTGTTGGGAAATTGATCTGCAAATATAAATGTTTATAAACTTGTGTTTTGATTTGATTTAGTCTAGTTATCCTCTCACCTCTCTCCGCTTCCTTCTTATAGCGCTCGCTCTTATTAAGCAGTGCTCTCAGTGAGCCACGCAGCTCCTTGCGCACGGATGTCGGCACACCAGTGGCTTGGGCAATAATTCGTATCGCAAACAGATCGCCGCACAGCTCGTCGATGTCGTCCTTGGAGTGCATGCCATAGTTAATCGTGTAGATCATGCGTGCAACAGGAAGCTGCGCGGCTACTTTGTGATAGTATAGCTCCAGGAACTCCCGCACAAACGCATCTTTCAGCATGCTCCGCTCGTCCCTTAGCACATTATGCAGATACTCTATCAGCAGAGGATTCCTCACAAGCAAATCTGAATATCTGTAAGCAAAAGCAGAAGTTAGTCATAATTAATTTGAGCATTATCCGTATTTTGCGGTTTACTCACTTGTTTGTCAAGGCATTGTTGTGTATGCCCACCCAAAACTTGGGAAAGTAGTTGAAATGCAACGGTGTGGACTCGATGGCAACCAGGCAGTGAAGTTTGACCAGCGTGTCGTTGAGGGTGCCCGTGTTGACGCACATTCGCATCATGACATCGATGAAGTCGTGATATGGCCTGTAGAAGGCATCTACTTGAGCATCATACTCGATGTCGAGTCCGCGCGGCGTCAACTCCGACAGAGCAATGCACATTTGCACCATTGGCCTCGGCGGACGAGGCGAGTTCTTAGCACCTAAAGGCCAGGGCGTCTGCTTAGCACCGCGACGTGGAAAATATGGTCCTAATGGGCCGATTGCATTGGGTGCATTGGCCACTGATAAATGGCAGTTAATCAAAATGGGCGCCAGAATAGTGGTGGCCTCCAGGCTGGTGTTGCGCACCAGCTCCTTGAGCACCTCGAGCGCCATGCGACTTATTTCCGGCGAATTAAATGTGTTGAGGAGCGTGGCGAGCCGTTTGATTGCATCGGGCAGAGCCTTTGCGAGTGCCGAATGCTGATGCTGTTGGCGCAGAAAGTGTTGCTGCTGCAGCTGCATTTGCTGCAATTGCAGATGCTGTTGCATTTGCTGTTGCAGCTGCTTCTCCTTCTGCTGCGGTGTCTGCGGCGCTTGGGTGCACTGCGATTGCTGCTGCTTCTGCAGCAATTGTTGCTGCTGCAGTTGCAGCTGCTGCTCCAGTTGCTGCTGCTGCTGCTTCTTTTGCGCTGGATTATCTGTGCGCATGCGCAGCGTCGCCAGCAGGAGCACCATTTCTCCAAGTAGATCCAAGAGATCCCCTGCCACATGGCAGGCGGTGGCCTCGTGGTGCATGGAATGTAACGTGTGCAGCGCCTCAAAGCACATCTCGATGCCGCCATTGAAGATGACCAGCATGCGATCATCGTCATTGTCCACTGTAAATGTACAGTACAATAAAGCAACTTCCAAAACCTTTGGGCATGCACTACCTACCAAGTATTTTGAGCGCGCTGATCAACGTTGACCAGGACACTCGTGCATCCAGGCTGGTGGTGTACGATACAATGACAGAGCGCCTGAAGGCAATGACATCAAGCTTTTCCTGCTCACTAGCATCCGGATGACGAGTGGCAAATAGTGCCATCAGCTTGAACAGCTCATCGACAGCGGCTGCATACTGAGTGGGATGGGGCGTAATGTTCTTAAAAGCCCACTGAAGATTCTGATGCTGTGCCAGTTGCCGGGTGAGTGCGCGGCTCTGCTCGCAGCACAAGCGCAGCAGCCCGTAGTAAGCGGGCAGCATGGACCGATTATAAGTGACGATCTCCGAGTCATCGTGATCGGCCCTAAGTGGATACAATCAGATTAGTCAGAGCAATCCCATGCCGCCTATGATTATCTTACAGTATGTAGTTAAATGCAATGTTTCGCGTTATCTCAGGGCAGTTGGCCACTAGCGCTGCGTTTTCCGGGCAATCGACGAGCGAGTGATGCCAGAAGGTGAGCAGCGCGTGCTTGTTGTGGTGCGCCGGCACACTGGGCTCAGAGAGACGCGGATGAAACAGCTCCCACAGGGACCGCATAAACGAACCTATCTGTAAACGAAAGCACACACATTGAAACAGCCGCCCAGCACGTGCCCTATCAGACTTGCCATTAGTTTTTCAGTCTTTGAAACCATACAGTAGCTGAGCAGGTTGAAATAGGCGGTCAGCTTGGTGGTACCGTGTGCACCTATGTCTGCATAAACACGCGCCGGACGCAGCAGACGCAGCAGCAATGTTATCACCTGGTGCAGCACCGCTTGGGCATCGCTGTTGATGTCCCTGCAAGGCAATAAGACAACGTCATAACGCTGACAATATGAGAATAGCTAACTGAACAGCAATTACCGGTAGCTGTGCGGGTTGAGAGCCAACAGCTTGTGCTGTGAGTGAGCGCGGAAGTTGGCGCGAAACGGTTGCGACGGCACCAGCGCAACTAGCAGACAGGCAGCGGCTATAATGTGAATAGAGACCAAGATATAGCGCCCATACATATACAGATGTCAGCTCTCATTTCAGCCTACCATTTCTGACGCGCGTATTGTCGTGGGCGAGCAAGAACTGCTCCAACCATTGCTCGGCGGACTGCAGGATCCAGGCGTGAGCAATTTTATTCTTAGTCGCCTGCAGCGAAAGCCAGTCGAGCACCGACTGAGGACAGTACTCGGCAGCATCCCACATGCGCGGCAGCACGAGCTGCGTAAAGCACGGCAGCCCGACCGGCCCGCCCTGCGTCTCGGTGAGCAGAGTGAGCAGCTTGAAGAACGGGGCACAGAGCTCAGTGTGCTTGGTAACGGATGCGAAGAGCATGCTGATGATTTGTGTAGCCAAACGATCGTCCCAGCGACAGAGCGCGTGGATTAAATGCTTTGTCTGATGCGGATTAATGCCGTCCTTTATTTGTTGATACAAAAATGGAAATCCCTACGAAATATATGTGGAATAAAGGTATGTATATACATATACAACACATAAGCAATGAACAAAGCAAAACAATTGGTTATAGGATTAGACATTGGATTGGTTTGTTGGTGGATTTATGGATTTTTGATGGACGACGGTGGTGGTGCTTGTATGATTGATTAATTGGAATATATAACGCTTTCGAGCTTTTTCAGTATCACCTTTCCACCGGCAATGGCGTTGAAGTCTTTCGGCGACAGACGCAATCGAAAATCAGCGCCCCGCGAGCGCTCCACAAGACTAGCACAGAGTGCAATCATTTTATCGAGCGACGCTGGACGCATCTTCTCCACTGAGAGTGCCTCATCCGAAGAGTTGTCCTCATTATCTGAGCTGATGTCAATCTGCGTTAAAAATGTGCAAATCAAATTCAAGTTCATAGCAGCATTTTATTGTCAACCTACACTATCTGTTTGCTTGTGGCCCAGGTAGAAGTCGACCAGGCTCTTAAGTACTCCGATGCGCAACAGAAACATCGCTTCTTCGTCCCCCATGCGCGAGAATTCGCACAGCAGGCTGAAGTACTCGGACAGATGGCGCAGATGAGAGCGTGCTCCATGCTCCAGCAGGGAGATGAGCGAGCTTATGAACCGCGTCACACATGATGCCTGTCCAATGAGCTCCCGGTCGTTCTCATCGGTATCCACGCCCAAGTAGAGATCAGCATGTGAAGCGCTGCGGAAGATAAACAACAGTTTCAATTGATTGATATCCGCTAGTGCACGGGTATGCCTCAGTGAACCTACCGCAGCCGCTGTATGACGTGAACGACCAAACGCTGAAACATTTGGCGAACCATTTGATTGGGGCATTGAATTAGAACTTGTACGGGCCAAAAGGGCTCGACTGACATGTGCGATAGGAACCATTCGCAAGCCTCTTCACTGGCATTGAATTGCTTTGTTAGCAGCTCTACCCAAGGAACCATTGTAGGCTGCAAATGACAAATGATAAACATGCAGCATTAATTATAATTCAGTTAGTTCTTACCTTCTCCTTGGCATGTATGAATGTTTCGATGAAAAATGATACCGACAACTTGGCGGCCATGCAGGTGACGTCCGTCTCCGAGATTAACGTCTGTGGTATGTGGCCGCAAATTTGCCACATGAAGCTAAAGATGAAACAATATTGTGATATCGAAACTATGTGTGTATATGTATATATATTAATCTCACTTAAAGTATGTGTGCTCGAAGATATTTCGATCTTGCAAGAACTGTCTGTTGTCTTGCCAAATCCAATCTTCTAGTTCCTTGCTTAACAAAGGACGAAACTGTGGTTGTTTAGTAGATGCTTTGGCTTCCGCGACGACGACCGCCTTTGAGGTTGACGCCTGCGGCTCATTGTTATTATTCGACTTAATATTATCACAATTGGCTGTTACTTTCTCCATTTCCTTGTCTTCGTTTACTTGAGTCGGGTCTGGCTTTTCAGTTTGCTCCTTCTCTTCTAACTTCTCAGTCTCTGTGCTTAGCGTAGCCGATTTCTCGGCCTCTGCCTGAACTGGCTCCGATTCCTCTGCTGCAGCGGGTTCCTTCTTGATGTTATTGTCCGTTTCAACTTTGGGCTGCTCCTCCGTTTCTGGTTTATCCTCATTAAGAGGACTTGGCGTCGGCGTTGCCAACAACTCAGAGTGCCGACGCTGGAGATGCTCTGGCAATCGACGTTCATAGAACAGCATGTAAGCTGAGTTGGTCTTCTCAAAGCTGAAGTCCAAATACTTTTCGGTTACCGAATCGTAGGTCTTGCTCTATCAAATTGAGAATAAATTATAATTTGTGACATTTAATACTCAACTAAAGAGATTTTCCCTTACAGTCATTTCGCCACCAAAGCACTCAGCCGCTATTTGCGACGGATCGAAAGGCTTCACTTCGGCGTCATTGAACAGGAACCAACGCTCGTGCGGATGATAATTGCTTTTCGTGCGCTCTTTAATAAAGCTATAGTAATGCCCACCGTCCGCTGTGCCTGTGTGAACCGTAACGCCAACCAATTCGTACCTATAATCAGGAAACGTTTATAATAATATTGCATATACTAGACCGAAACGTCAGCCACTTACTCATAGCACTCCTCGATGTCTGCGTCCAATGTGGCTTCAGCCTTTTCATTCTCTGCCCCCTCGTCGTTGTCGTTCTCCTGACGCTCGCGAATGCGCTTTTCACGGTCCTCCTTGTACTGCTGCGGCATCAGCGTCTTCTCCACGTAGTGGCACATGTTGAGGCGCAAGGGGAACGAAAAGTGCGTGTTGACCTTCTCCTTCAGCATGGTCACCATGTTGAAGGTGTATCGCATGGTATTGAAGCACAGGATCTGCGGCAGCTTCTTGAAGCAGGCGCGCTTCTCGGCGCGCACCTTCTTGCCACACTGTGAACAGGTGTACATATTGTCACCCTCGAGCGTATCCTTGACAGTCACCTCGTCCAACGACTCCTGCAAGTTTCGCATGTCCGCCACTTGGCAGCGAACCGTGTAGAACTCCTCAGCAGTGCGCGAAACGTGACCGCAGTCCAGCGAGACGACATTGTTGCTCAGAGTGCCGCAGAACAGACGCTTCACCAAGTGCTTCAGGTCTGGAGTCATCTCCTCGAGCTTAGAGACCAGATCAATGAAGAACTCCGCCATATCCTTCTGCTCGCCCGTATTCAGGGGCTGATGATCCATCTGATACACTCGGCAGAAGCTGCGCGGATTATACGCCTTGCGCTCCGACTCCAGCAGATACGCGAACATGCGCTGCAGCTCCATCAAAGTGGGTCCATGTTTTTGGGCACCACCCGGTGGCAGACGTAAAATGGCCGCGCGCGCCTGTGGCATCATGTACAGATGCTGGATGCAGGAGGCCATGTAGCAGGTGGCTCCCAAGTTAGTGAGGCCCACATAGCCGCACTCGGCGCGGCCCTCGTCACGGGGCCAATAGTCCCAGGGATACGGTTGCTTCGGACCCGACCTGTGCTGCGCCAGCAGTCGGCCATGCAGGTAGCTGTAGTTGGTGGCACAGCCGCGGCACAGCTCCACGAGCAGATCGTACGCAGCGGCACGCGAGGTGGCCGATTTGCACTTCGGCTTCTGGCGATTGGCGGGCGACGGCATTTCGAACAGGAATTCGATCAGCTGCTCAATGAAGCTCAAGGCCTTGGGCCTGTACTTGTAGCTGGTGTCGTACTTGATCAGATTGGACATCAGGTTGAGCAGGCCCACCAAGCCGTCATCCTGGTAGCCATGGCGCAGTTCGTGGTAGTCGCGGTTCAGGATACTCTCCGAGATGCTCTCGCAAAGCTGCTCAATGTCAATGCGCTCCTCGGCCACCATCTCGGGGGTTAGCGTGTCTACAAGTCGTGCGAGTAGCCAAAAGTAGTCTCGACAAGCCGGTCCATACGGCTCCTTGCCCTCCTCCGAGAGCAAGAACTGGGTATGCTGCACAGACGAGCTCATCTGCTCGGCACGCGGCAGCAGTGCGATGAGTTTGTGGAGCAGAGGAGCTAGCAGCAATCGATAGCTCTGGGCGTTGCCCAAACAGATTCGATAGAGACCAGCGCAGATCTCGCGCCGCACCGCTGGCTCCGGATCCTCCAGTATGAACTTCTGCAGCCAATTGCACTGGTCCGGCTGAGACCAGAGCAGACGCCGTGCCTCGGCTGAGGCGTGCACAAAACTCACGAGAATGTTCATGGTGAACTGCACCAGCTGTGCTCGGCCCCAGAAGCCGGTGCGCAGCTGATGGAACTGGTAGGGGAACAGCAGCGAAGTGGCTCCCGCAGACTGCTGCTGGTGGACTTCGTCGTTGAGTATGCTCGAGAGGCGCTGTAGGCACTGCGGTACCTCCATCAGCTGCAGCATGAAGGCATGTGGTCGCGACATCAGCACATGCACATCCTGCGTCTGCAGCTCCTCGAAGCCCAGCAGCCACAGGATGCGCAACAGGCTGGCCAGGCAATCGTGACGCCACTCGTTCAGCGCCAGCTCCTTGGCATGCGCGCTCTGCTGCAGCTGACCCCCGATGAAGATCTCGTACAGATGCTGCAATCCGCCGCACTTGATGAACGCCTCGCTCCACTTGCTGCTCTCTGCCGGCGCCGCATTGCGCACTGGAGCTGCTGCTGCCACCGGCAAAGTGGATGTTGGCGAAGGCGGCGGCGGCGTGGCACAGCCCAATGGACGCTCCACTTCCTGGTTGTCGATCTTCTTCTGTCGCTTGCAGTGCTGCTTCGGTTGGTTTTCCTTGTCGCCGCCGCTTGCCAGCTCGCTAATGTCCACATCGCTGCCCGATCGTGGATTCGATATTAGCGACGTCTCCATTTCCCCCGCAGCCAGTTCCTTGCTGCAGTCGCTGCTGCTGCTACTACGTTTGGGTTCGCCGGCCTGCTCGATGCTGTTGTGGCGACGGTTCGCGCTCTTTTTGGGACGAGGCTGCTCACTTAGAAGCAGGTTGCCGTTGGATCCAGTGCCTGCAGAAGCACTGGGAGCACTGGAGGCAGTGGCCTGACGTGGTCCACTGCTCAATGCTAGGCTCTCGACGATGTGCAAGGAATACATGAACTTTTGCAGGTTGCTCGGGTCAAGCAGCTCGTTAAACTTTTGCTTAATCTCCTTGCGCTTATTGGCCAGCTGCTCCTGATCCTCCAGTTGCTGCAGCTCATTGAGATCGTTGACCAGGTTCTTGAACGCATCCAGTATATGCGGATTGGTGGGCAGCATTGCCAAGATGTCCCACACCCGGCGCGACAGCAGCTGCGCCTTTGTGTGATGTTGCAGATGCGCCGTTGAGGATTGTGGTTTCATGTCGCCCAGCGTTTGCATTAGACAAAAGAGTTTCTCGAAATACTTGGGCTGCAGGAGCAGCACTGTCGGCAAGCACTCCTTGGGCGGAGGCGGCAGCATCGATGGGTGCTCCACATTCGTCTCCTTGCGACGAGCACCACGTCCGCCCAGCGACACATAAACGATCTGATTGTCCTTGAAACCAGCGTCGCCTAGCGAGCGCTCATCGTAGTCCGATGTCAGCTCCTGACCCTGTGTGATTATACGGAGTGGCCCGTCGCTGAGGAGCAAGCCCAGCACGGGCGCCGCCATGCCCGATTGCAGGCTCTCCCACCACTTTGAAACCTCCGCCTTGAGATCAGCGATAAGATCACACGCGTGCATATGCAGCACACTCTTCTCTGAGAGACCTGCCTGCTGTAGAACAATCCGCAGGGGTGGACCCGCGCCCTCGTTCTTCAGATTGCTGTGCGATCCGATTCCCTTGCCCTCGATGGCCCAGCGGCGCAAATGGAAGGCATAGCGACGCCTAAACGTGTCCAGATGGGTGTTGAGAAGCAGCAATCCCCGCTGCACGCGCATTAGCGCGTTCTCATCCTCGATGCTGTAATATAAATGCAGTGTAATAAATGTCTATCAAAGGAAATTTGGTCAACTCACCATTCTAGAGCTGTAGCTGCCTGAACCAGATTGTCCATGCACTGAGATACGAATTCTTTCTCGAGGCGCAGCTGCTGGCCCATGTAGTACATGTTGATGTACTGGATCGCAGCCAGCGAGACCTCGTTGCTTTGGGCGCGCAACGCAATCTTCCAGAGGTGGTACATGCCCACGGCATTGGAGTTGGCGCTGATGGCATCGCTGTGCTTCTCGTACTCGGCCATTGCGATCCGCGCAAAGCTGCACAGCTGCTGGAAAAGACCCAGTGCTACCATGGAGAACTCTTCTGGTCGCAGTTCGGGCAATTTCTTTAAGTATAAATGATGCAGTGCATCGATGCCGAGGGCATGTTGGTCGCCGCCCTTTGTCTGAGCCTGAAGCCACGAAAAATAGCAGTCCGAGCACTCGGGATCATGCGCCAGCCAGTCCCACAGCGCATCCAGCTGCTCCAGCGTCAGGCGGAAGCTCTTCGGCGAGCCCACCGAGGAGAAGATCGACGAGAGAAACTGCAATCTCACAGACACCTGTGTTTTGTGCGAGTACAGCTGAAGGCCCAGCTGCTGCTGTTGCTGCTCCCCATTCTGGTTGATCAACAGCTCGGCATGCCTTCGGGCGTAGTGCCGAATGTTATTGAAAAAGCACGCCATCATGCGATGATTGCGCTCCGCCCACAAGGTCATGGTGTGCGTGTCCGATGGGCGAAACTGCTGGAATGATGCAAAGAGCTTGGGCAGCAAGCGCAAGCTCACAATGACACTGCGATTGTTGGCCACGTTCTGCAGGCAGCCCTCAATAAATTTTGTGCGAATCTGACGATCCACGTTAAAGCACAGCAGCGTTGCCAGCGCCTTCTCAGCCTCTAATGCTAAAGATTCACCAAGTTGTCCCTGAAGAAAAAAAGGAAAGAGATAGAAAGAGATAATATTAATAATCATAAGCTACAGATTATTGTTTAACATCCTTACGATTTTGTCGTCCTGTAGCAGGTCCCAGAGCAGCGTGTTGCCCGGCTGGCAGACGTCGTTCAGCTTAAAAGAAGGCAGATTGTTGGCCGAGACGGCATTGCTAGGCTTCGGCGAGTGCAGCTGCTTGTTGGCAACCTCAATTAGATCCACATCCGAGTCGGACTTGCTCTTGGCAGCGGCTGCAGCAGCAACGGCGGCAGCGGCATTCGCCTGTTGGCGCATCGCGACCAATGACTGTTGTGCATTGCCAGTGGCAACAGCAGCGGCCGCAACAGCTGCTGCAGCGGCGGCTACATTCGTTTCGCCGGACTTTTGCATGGCCATGGCCGATTGAGCGGCCATCAGTGCAGCTGCGGCCGCTGCAAAGGCCGGAGCCACATCTCTGCAGTTCGGGGCAGCTACGCGTGCGCCATGCGAATTGACGAGCTGTGCCAGCTCCTCCTCGCAGGGCGATACGTCCTCGTCGTCGAAGTCAGCCAGATTCTTCTCTGATTTGTTGCTCATCGGCGACGAGTAGCTGCCATCGTTCTCTGCCCCGCTAAGCAACTCGCTGATGTTTGTCTCGGCAATGGCTCGTATATAGGGACCTTCGCCGTGCAAATGCTTCAGCACAGCAGCGGGCACCAGTTGATGCCCGGCGCTGTCGCTGCACTCATCGCTGTCCGCGAGCAGCTCGCCGTCGCCGTCGGCATCGCCATCGTCGCTGCTGGGCACATCCTCGACGCCGTCCCAAATTTCCACCAGCTCATGCGGCAGAATCTGCTGCTTGTTGGCAGCCTTCGGACGGCGGCGCTTGTTGCTCGTCTTCTTGCGGTGCAGCTGCAATTCCAAGGCAGCGCGCGACTGCATTTCCTCCTCGCTGCTGGTGTTGTCGATAATGTTGACAATGCGATGGTTTCTGCAACAAGATTATGTCACCATATTTAAGTTATTTGGATAAACATTGATTGTGAACCGACTTACTTGATGTCCATCTTGGCGATGTCATCGCCGCTCAGCTGCTTGGCCTTCTCAGTGGTGGGATCGCAGATGTGGCGCCTGTGCCTGGCCTGCTTGCAGGGAGTTACCCCATCGACGGGACTTTTGTGCCCACCACCGACGCCGCCACTGGCGATGCTGCTGTCGTCGGCGCCCACATGCTCGTCCTCCGTGTTGCTGCCCTCAATGCTGCCGCTGTCTGAGCTGGAGGCTGTCACATTGGAGCCCAGCAAATGGTCTTGTATTAAGTTCATTTGATTGCGCGTACAGTCCCGCGTCCAAATCAACTTTGTCAGAGCGGACGCAATATATATGCTCTGCTCGGTGTGCTCCTTGGGGTCCATGCGGCAGAGCAGCGAATAAAGATGCATGGCCGGGCGTGGAGCCAGATTCTTTACCAGCGCCGGCAAAATATCGAAAATGGTTTTAGAGCAGTGCTTCAGCTGTGTCGCTTGCCAGATGAGTTTGATGTCCTCCTCAGAGATTTGGTTCTCCACGGCGAGGAAGTTCAGAAGTACATGGGCTTGCTTTACAATCTCAACGTGTAAGTTCGGGCCAAACAAATGCTGCACAATTTGATTCTCTGTTAACCAATTGGCGATGCGCTGCCCAAAGAGCTCCACCTCGTTGACAGTCTCAGTGGTGCAGATCTCGTTGAACAGATTGATGTGCGCGTTTATCTGAGCCATACCTAAAATGAATTAAGTAAC